AATCAGGGTTACGTAACATCTTGAATTTTTTGTGCATGGTCCAGTTACGAAACCCTGTGACGCAGACGGATAGAGGGCAGCAGCTGCCTAAGCATCGAAACGTTTTAAAAACGTATGGCGCGCCAGAGAACGGGATTTTTCAAGGGGAGGGTACTTCAGGGTGGGTGAGCTACTTATAGTCGGTGGAAAGATGGCGTGAGCGAAGTCACAACGCCCATATAGTGCCATGCAGAGGAGGAGTGCAGAGAAAAAGAGAAGATCGACGCGTTCAAAGGGATTGAGTTCAAGTTGTCCGTAGACCGTGATGATTTCGATGGAATTTGGCTGCAAAGTCCTACTTTTTCAGCTCTTCAAGCTTCTGAAGTGGAAGGTGAGTTATTCTGAACAATTTGAATTGTACTGGCTCTGAATGAATCTGAAAGAATGCAAGCCATTTGAATAAATGCCTGAAATAAGGCAAAATACAAGGAAAAGAGCATATAGTCGACATAAAAATAAAGGAAATCTTTCTTCATTTCTATTTCGATCTCTATTCTACATTCTCTATTTCGGAAATTTCCCTTATTTTTATGTCGATTATATGCTCTTTTCCTTGTATTTTGCCTTATTTCAGGCATTTATTCAAATGGCTTGCATTCTTTCAGATTCATTCAGAGTCAGTACAATTTAAATTTGCTCAAAATAACTCACCTTCCACTTTCGAAGCTCGAAGAGTTAAAAATTCGCAGCCGAATTCCATGGAAATCAGCTGATTCGCCGTCACCGAGCCGCAGCCGCTGTCGCGTCACATTGCAGCGCGGCTGTGCCGCCCCGACAGTCCGTAATGATGAGGACTGTATAGGTATCGACGTGGCGACTGGAATCGGATCGATATCTATAATTCTTTGCGCAATCTCTCAAATCGGCGAGTCCTCCAAATACACGGTCGCAAAGTATGAACGCAGGCCGGTTTACGTTTTTACGCGCAGTGTTCGGTTCTGATAAGATTTAAAGCTTTGTGGTCGTTTTAGCTGAGAGTGGATGTTTCAGATTAAACGTGCGGCACTAAACGAGCTTATTGATCATATAACAACCACAAAAGGTGCAATAGTCGAGTCGATTTATCCTGAGGTTTGGTTTTGTAGGTTATTGCTGCTTTTGTTGTTCGTAGAACAATTACTGAAATTCAGGTAATCAAAATGGTCTCGAAAAATATCTTCCGTGTACTGCCACCGTCAGACAATTCCGAATTTGATCCTGAGGAAGATGAGCCCACATTAGAAGTGTCTTGGCCACACCTACAGGTAATGTTTAAAGGGCTGAATGTACGATGAACCACATGGGTTAGCTAAGGACATTCGACATCGCATCGCGCGCAAAGAGGCAGTTTCATAGCTAATTGACCCGATACTAGTGTATGCGGAGAATCCCATTGTTGTTGCAGTTGCTCGCTGGGAAAGGCAGGGGGGAAGGCGTTACAACAGGGAGAGTCAGCATTGAAGAAGAAGCAAATGAATCCTTGCTTTGGGATCCCTATTCCCTTGAATCCGTTCGCCTCGATACTTTTAACTTTCCCAGCGAAATCTCGACCGACCAATCAACGACCACAGACTGTAAAATTGGAGGGAAGCTCTGTTTTTGTCAGAATCATCCTCTCCCCCTCCACATTAGTGCTAATTCTTCTTGGCAAGCCAAATTCCAACTCTGCCTCTACTCGTTGAGCAGTGTTCACTGTTTAAGGCAGTTGGCACGATGGTTTCCTACTTAGCCTAAAATGCTAGTAGGGCGCTGTATAGTGGGGAAATGGCGAAAGAACGGAGTGAAACGGTCAAAATCCTGCGAAGAAAAAGCCTCCGTTCTCAGTGACTTGTAAATCGATTTCGGACGAGTTTCCCGTAGGCATCTTACCAATCACCGCTACCGAAGATACGGCTATATGTGTACCCATATATGCATGCAGCATCACGGCCGCTTCATACCAATCCCTTCGCTTCATAATTTGCTTAGCAAATGAATGAATACGAGCGTCAGGAACGGTCGTCCATTTGTGGGCGGGCGGGCGTGGCAGGCGTTTGGGACGTAATGTTGTGGCTTGATAGGGCCCTTATAAGAGCACGGGGAAACCGCTATGCAGCGCCTGCCCAGGGTCGCGGAATTCTATCCTGTCAGGAGTATTGGTCCTAGTCGCCTTCTGGGATTTACCGTGCCAACTGTCTTTGAGGTCCTGACTCGTCTGATTGTTATATCGAGTAGAGTATGGGTGAAACAGTGGGAAATTTACGTCAGTTTGATAATTGTGATTTGATCCGGAGTTTTCATTCATCATATGGCTTATTTTATCATTTCAGCTTGTCTATGAATTATTCCTACGCTTTCTGGAATCACCAGACTTCCAAGCATCAATTGGAAAGAAGTACATTGATCAGCGCTTCGTCCTAAATGTGGGTTTCCAATTCTGACTGTCAGTGTGCGGCGTCTAGTTCGGTGCAGAAAAAGGGGCGTGTCAGGCGAGACGGTTACACGCGGCGCCAATCCATTTTGAACGCCCGTCTGCGGACAAGGGCCTCGGCTAGGCAAAGCATCCGTAGTGCGGCCTATTCGTTGGGCGTGTCAGGCGTGACGGGTTACACGCGGCGCCAACCCATTTTCAATCAGTTGTTGAGGCGAGTAGGCGGCAAGATTGTATCCTATCGTTCGTAGCAATCATTTTTCAACAGTGTTGTCGCTTATCCGCTTCAGCAGCTGGTAAAGAGGGGAGACGGTAAGGAGGATCGTAATTTGCCGCACCGCCGCGCGGCGATGGGCGCGGCGTTTTCATAACTCGTTTTAACCTGTCGAATGGAGCACCGGACTTCATGTAGACCCCGTCATCGTAGACACTCATTACTGTTTTCGGTCCTTAATTGCATGTTGTCGCCATCTACTGCCTGAAACCATCGTCCTTTGCAGACGGGACGTCGCACGCGACGCCCAGCAGCGCGGCGAATTACGATCCTCTTGTCACACACCCGGTAAAGAGCACGTTTGACACCGCGCCAAACCGCGAACAAGACCTGTCTGGTTCTCTAAAACTAATTCTATTGCTTTTTTTAGCTCCTTGATCTATTTGATTCCGAGGACCCACGAGAGCGCGACTTTCTAAAGACGGTTCTGCATCGTATCTACGGGAAGTTCTTAGGACTCCGGGCTTTTATTCGAAAACAGATCAACAATATGTTTTTGTCGTGAGTTTCTTCTTTGGACTTTTTTCATGTGTCATGTTACATAAAACGCGGCATCTTGATGTTACGTTTTCTCATCTTTTGATTTTTTTAGCTTTGTCTACGAGACGGATTCATTCAACGGCGTTGGTGAACTGCTGGAAATTCTTGGAAGGTGATTTTTAGTTTTCAAAAGTGTTGGCTCCAATCCAACAAGGTGCGGTATTTTGTGCTTCAAAGTTGGCATAAGGCATTGTTCACAGTCTGCGGTCCAGCGTTTCTCTGGAACGCGGCGGTTCGGCGAAAAGCTTTCGATACGTATCGACTGGCGGTTGGGCGAAAGGGTTTTGATACGAATCGACGGGCGTTTCGCCAAACCGCGACGTTTTTCGCCTTCGACGAAACGCTAGCTCGATCGCCGTGGCGTTTTTCGCCAGCGAAATCGATACGCATTTGTTGCTCCGAAATCGATACGCATTTATTGCTTTTCGCCCAACCGCCGAACCGCGGCGGTTCGGCGAAACTAGCGGTTGGCGATTCTCCGATCGATGACTATTTTTGCTTTTCTCCCAACCGCCGTTTCGTCAAGGTCGCAGACTGTGAACAATGCCTAAGCAGTTGTGAACTAGGGCGTGACTGATTTTGTTAAAAGGCTCTGTCTGGGATTGCCGGATGGGCGGTCCACGAAGCGTCGTTGTTGACCTCTTTCTCCTCTCCTCGCGCCTAAGAAGATGGAGATTGGAGGAAAGCGGCAACGGGCTTAGGAGACGAAATGTCGCTGCGTTAAATTTAGCACAGTCTTT